CTGCTACTGCAAACTGTAGACAGTAACCCAACTAGTTACTGCAGCTGAATTCAGTAGCAAGACCTGCACACAACCTTGCCCTGCAAAGTAACTACTGCTGCTTGGCCATGCGGTGTGTAATGCTGTAGGCCTTACTTCTTGCCTGTATCATCCAGCAAAGTCTTGTGGAACAGAACTAGCAAGAACAGGGTTCTCATCTTTGGTAAAGGGAACAGAACAGCAATCAGTGAGACTCCATACTTTTGGTAGCCACTTCCTTCCCCTTTCTGAATCTCCATTTCTTTTGTAAACCAGAGTCAGCAAGAAACTTGTCTAAAAAGCTGCATACCCTAACAGAATGAGTGCCCAGGCTCACTTATTTGTGGCAGAAGGGAACCCAGATTCTGTGACATTCTAAGGTGGCCACAGTTCAGCAAATTTAAGCACTAGGAAAAGGTACTGGGCTGTTCTGTCTAGAAAATAGTAAAAGCAGCTGTCTTCCCTCTTCTTCATACTTACTATTCTGATGACCCATTCTATACTGAGTAGGGTCCTATAACAATGTGATTTGCAAACAGTAACTGGTCTGGCATTGCATAATTCCCAAGCACAGCTACTGAGTTTGAAAGTTAGCAAATGGAAGGGTTCCTGCTAGTTTACTGCTGTTCAGCGCATCTTATTAGCAGCTTTGTATACCGATCCCAAAAGAGCTGCCTGTGGCCAAGGTAGCACTGTGTACTTTTAATAAAAGACAGTTTTGAAGGGAGATGTAGCTGCAACATTAACATTCACAGGCCACGCTTTTGTTTGCTTCCCAGAGAAAGAGCTGAGTGTGCTTCGTAAGGAGAATCGCAAGAATGCTGCCCTCGCTGTGGCCATGGGGTTGCTGGTTGCTCTTATTTATGCCTGCTGGACGATGTGATTGCACTCAAGAATTCTCCCTCCTGACAAAATGACTCTCCTGCAAGGAGCTCTTCCTCCTCTGTGCCTCCACTCAGGGTGAAGATCAGCATTTCATATTGCTGTTCTTGTTTATCCTCTCCAAATCTCATTGTAGGGAAGCTTTTTCTCTGAGAATTGAGGGAGACAGGAGGCAAACCAGAGATCACAGCACACTTATGATTGGAAATCGGTTCAAACAGAGCTCAAGGTGGTTCTGTCTTTACCCAATATGCAGTCAAGATCCATCCAGCCTGATGCAGGAAGGCGGTACCTTCTCCCTTTTGAAATGGACCTCTGTGGTTGCAGACACACACTGTCTGCCCAGCTAGTTGGAACACTCGCCACCTTCATAGTTCCTGTGACTCAGTCATAAGCTGAAGGGACACTGGGTTTTTTGAATCAAAGGGTAACTTGGGTATTGTGACCTAGAAACTTCTTGTGTCCTCCAGAGCTGAGCTAAACAAAGACGTTTCCTCCTCCACACTGACTTACAGGACCAAAGGAATCCTATCTCCACAAAAGCACATGGGAGGTACTTCTTTTTCTGCAAGCAGGTAGCATCCAACTTGAGATCTGGGTGCTTGGGCTGTGAGATCTACTTACCTCTCCAGTGTATCAGAGTGTGGTAGCCATTTTGTGCCTCTGAGAATCAGTATTGGCAGAAGAGAATTTACCACCATCTCCCAAGGACAGAAGTGCATTTGCAGGGCTTTAAATAAAATAATTTGACCTTGTGACTCCCTGTTTTGTTTTGTTTTTTCTTCCCATTTTGTAACATGCCTCTCAACTACTGCTTTGTCCTTATCCTAGTTTCTCCCTACTGGCACACACTGCACCACAGTATGCCTAGACTGGGTTAGGCACTTGACATCCTTGGCCAGTGATGTTTCAACAGTGGGTTATTGGTCTTGACTTTGCTTGCTTTGAGTGGAAAAGCAGCTGGAGACTGCCCCTGTAGTCCCCTCATTCTGATCCAGTGACATACACCAGGTAGCTCTGAGTGTGCTCTCCTTGCCAGAAAAGCTATACAAGGCATTTCTCTCTTACTCTCTCTCCATGCTGGCCAGAATTTTGTGGGAAGTGAAGGAAACATGCACTGTTGTGAACTAAAGGGGCTGTATTGGTAATAGAGACAATGAAAGCAGAGAAGTCAACACAAAATGATACACAGCCTAATAACAATACACTGTGCAATTCATGTACATAAACATTCCCTTCAGCAAGACCTTCCTTGCCCCCTTCCCAACATAATCCCTCTGTATTCACCCTGCAGCAAGGAAGCAAGGAGCATGGTGCTGCATGCTTGTCTTGAAGGGGGATTCAGAATCAAGGTTCAGTGCATCAAAAATAAAATCAGATTAAAATCAGGATGAGCTGGAGGCTACTGGGTACACAGCAAGTATCTGCTCATAAAAGCTAGCCTGCAGGCTAACCAGGGTTTTTTTGCACCCTCAGAGGTCTACACTCACTCTAGTGTACTTCCTAGGCCGCCCTCTGTTGGCCAGCCTGTAGAAAACCAAAGCTCTGAGTGAAGGACACAAGACTTCGCGAAGGAGCCTGGCGAAGGGAGCAGCATGCATTGCTGGCTTTGGAACTGCCTCAAGGCAGCCCGAAGAAGCGCCAGGACTCAAATTACTGATGGGTTTAAAAAGCCAACTTCACACAGGCCTGAAACCACACAGTTGGAGGTTCTTTATTGCCCACTGGGAGAGATTCCTCCTCATTCCCTTATGGAAGTGCCTTTGCCAAAACAAAACTGCTAATGACAGATATCTTTTTCTTTTTTTGGGGGGAAGGGCCACCATTTCTTTCATACACATTTATACTGATGGTTGAGGGCAGAGGGTATCTACAGGTCAGTAAGTGGATGCAGTAACAGCTTGCCACCTCTCAACTGCTTTGACCTGGCTGTCTGGGGACGTAATGGTTACCAATGTGGAAAAAGCAGCTTTTACTCCACTTTTGGCCAGAGCCTGAGAAGAAACAGAGTAGCTCCCCTGCAGAATATTCACAATACCTATTTGTAAGCTAACCTCCCATCCACTCCAAGCTCTGCCTCCAGTTTCCACTGAGCAACTGACCATGCCAACTCAGTGATGTTCCTTTAGCCAGAAGTGAGGTTCTGCAGTGAGCAAGCTGCATAAAATTTTTGCTGGTGCAAGGAGCTGCAGCTGTCAAGTTCATTTATACCATACTGTGGAGAATTGATAAATGGTTATATTAGAGACAATTTGCTTGCAGAGACATGGAAGTTCTCCAAGCTCAGGGAGCAGAGCCTACTTGTAGGATGACATTCAACTGTGTGCTGAGAATGAGCACAAAACCTATGCATGATGCTGGGCCTTAGCGGGTGGAGGTGGGACAACACCCTGTCCTTGTTCTGGCTTCTTTGGGCGAGGTGCAGGACACCCATGCACCTAAACACCTAAAGTAAAAATGTCCATGTCCTGCTACATGAAATTTGTTCAAATTGTACATATGGGCATGGAGAGAAAGAAACAAAAATCTAAATTGCTATAGATTCTAGAACTATAGCTTTCTTTAAGGCACAGTTCAAACAACTCCTAAATAAGTTTCCTTCCTACTGCCAATCTATGTTTAAAAACAAGCCAAGAAAAAAAAAAATAGGGGCAATTTTGCTGCTTGGCCTAAAGCAGTCAACTGTCAGCTGTGTGTTATCTTCTGATTTATGTGGAAGACCTGGCAAAAGTGTCATGGAAGCCAGAAGTGAAGGTAAAACACACAACAGCACAGCAGTGCACAGAGAAGTCTGTGAACACACAAATACCGTGCTGAGAGATTCACAGCTCTATGCCTGCACATCAGGTGCAGCTCCAGGGCCAAACGAGGCATGGAGGGTTTCAAAGTCTACTCTGACATTTAAAAAGGAAAGTCTGGTAACCTTTCCAGCAGGCAGAGTCAGGACAGGATTTCTTCTGGTTAACCAACATGGTCAAATTCAAGACCTCTTTTCATTGAAGCCCTGGCTTTTTGGGTTTGTTTGGTTTTTTTTACTAAATCAGACATCATTTCCTCCAAAGACCTCCAGCATTCCAACCGTCCTGTGTCTTCCCTCCCATATCTGCTTTCCCCCCTGAAGATCTGGGGAATAATGTCAACTACCAAGAATCAAAGCACCTTGGTCTCAGAAGTACCATGAGGAACAGACACTTTCAAATTAAACTCCAGGCTGCTAGCTCAGGGTCAGTCACTGACCTGGAAAAAGGAAATCCTTGTCACAGCAGCTTCTAGAGGTCTGAGAAAGCTCTGGCACTGAGAACATCACAAATCTGTGCCAAGAACTCTATTCCACCTGTGCTGGCCTTTGTCCAACATGGCATCATGATGCCATGTTGGACACTGGCAATTCCTAAATGCCTTGATAAGCAGAAGCGTTCAAGACCCCAACCATACAGACTTGCATCCCAGAGCTAACATTCCCCAAGGAGTTAACACCCTCCAGTGGGTAGTGCAGGCCTTTGACAAGGCAGAGATAGAGCTGCCAAGAACAACACAGGGCCACTTCAATGTGCTGCTGCCCAGCTCTGCCACCAAGACATCTCTGCTCCTTCCCACACGGCCAGGGAAGCACAAGCCTGGAGAGTTCTGGCACACAGAGCTCCACAAACCTCGCTGAATGTTTGAAGAGGAGCAAAGAAAGCTGCCAGTCCCATGGCCTCACGCATGCAGGAGGTCAGGACAGAAGGGTGTTAGGCCTTGGCCCAGGAGTACCCTTGGTGACTCCTGGCAGAAGGCACTACCTGGGCCATACTCTTATATACACTGCCAGGGTAGAGCCTTGTCCTGTGCCTTCTGCATACCACCCCCTGGTTAGATCACCTCCAGGAAACCAGCTCTGGAGCAGACCAGGATAGAAGTTGCACAATCTTCCCAGTCTCATCAGTCCCTGAAGAATCCAAGCTGGGCTCAGCCCCCCTGCTCCCCTTAAGAGAGCAGAGTTAGGGGTAGTGTGCTTGGATGAAAGACAGGACATCTTCCTTTGACAGCTTCTCTGGATCTTTCCTCTTCTGAGAGTCATGCACTTTGACACCTTCCCCCCACTCCCAGAAGAGGCGGCTGTAATGACATATGCTGTGGGCGGAGAGAAAAGCAAGATTAATTTAGCAGGGGAGGGAAAGAAAAACACCGTAATCCTAGCCACAAAGTGCACTGCAGAGCCAGTTGACTTTGCAATGGGAGCCAGACAGCTATGTTCTATCTGAGAGCTGCCTTAGAAAAAGGCCAGCTCATTCTCCAAACAAACTCTATAAACCTTAAGGTATAGCAGCTTCCCAGCCCAAGGTATTTCCATGGAAACAAACTTGTTAATTCTGACTTCACTCAAGATTTGGTTCAGTATTTTCTGGAAGAAGACAGGTCATTAGGGAAAACCTACCTCCACCCCAGTTTTTGAGAGGATTAAACTGTCATTGCAGGCAATGGAAAGGCCGTAATGAAGAATTTAGAAAGCCTGCCAGCAGCAGCAAGCACCAATCTAATCACTCACCACAAACCTACCGGAATCAGAAATAGCTGTCCTATGGAGCTTTGCAAATGAACAGCACTTCGTGCTGTACAGAAGCAGCTAGGATCATCCCCTCTTTCTTCTCATGAAATAACCCAGCTCCACTTGGCTGCTGAGGGTTCTGGTCCTACAACACCATCTCTCCCTCCCTCCATCAAGCACAGCCTTCCCTGCTGCATCAACACAGTCCCAGCCATAATGAAAACAGAGCTGCTAATTACTGCCGACACAGCAGCCTTTAGTTTTGTACAATTACTGACACTTAATATTCATAGCTTATTTAATGCTACTGTTCTAACAAAGCAGTACTAGCACAGTGACAAGAGCACATGTCAATAGCTAATTAAAGACACATTAGTACTCACCACAAGACAATATCACCCTTCTGGAGTCACACACAAGCTCCCTCCACCTCCTCAACCACTCATGCCTGTTCATGCTGACCTGCTTCTGAGTACAGCAGCAGAACTAAGCCATATGGAGGGACAAAGCATGGTGTGCCTTGCTTTCACAGTCTGAAGCCCTTCTTCCATTTAGCTGGTTAAGCAAAGCTTAAGGATTCTTAAGAGCACTGCTGCAAGGAGATTCAAAGTGGGAAAATCTGGAGCCCTATTT